TACATTACATTACATTACATACATATGTACATAAATATATATATATATATATATCCATCCTTCTGCATTTCTGTATGTATTGATTCGTTATCTATATTTCTATCGATTTCTGTCTTCATGTATATCTGCTGTATCTAATGAATGTGCAAGTGTATGCTATATGTTTAATATCCGTTATATAGGCATACATACAAACATACATACAAACAAACAAACATACATACATGCATGCATGCATGCATGCATGCATGCATGCATACGTACATACATATAGACATTTAAACATCCACATGTATTCTTTTTCAGATACATACATACATGTGTATGTATATATATATACATACATACATACATACACACATCACATATACATACGCCGAATAAATAACTCCAGCTTCGGTGGGCATCAAAGACAGATCGCTGCAGGAGCTGATGCGTCAGGGGCTCAGTGCTCAAAATACTGACCCATTATACGCTTCAGGCTGAGGGTTTAGGGAACACTCTGCCATGTGATATGACAAGTGGCAAATGCTGGCGATGACCTGATGAAGATAATTATGATGCCGTCGGTCATTGTGGCAACAATGGTGACTCCGACTGCACAGATTACTCGTTGATTGCTCCTGTTCAGCGTCTTGCGTGCGTCGTGCTTCTTGTTTTTCTATGTGTACGGCTCTGACCAATTGCCAATGGTCGGATTCGTTGATCGCGGCTGGTGGTGCCTCCGTTTTCTGCTCGATGACGCCGCCGAGGCCTGTGGCAAGGTGCGGACACGCACACCATCTGCATTTTACTTGCACTTCTTCCACATATGGGATTACAGCGCTGGCATTAAGAGCTGTCAGAAGCCCTTCATGGCTCGAGAGTGTGATCACTGTGCCAGATTTGCGAAAAGATGCGCTTCAACTAAGCACACCTTCCAGTGATGAAGCCAAACTCACAAGTTCCTCTCCAGCTGCTGCTAGGCTGCTGAATCGGAATCCCAACCCGTGGCCCAAACCCGAAACCCGGCCCTAAACCCTAAACCCCTAAACCCTAAACCCGGCCTTTAGCTCGGTCTGCAAAAGCATTTGTGACACTGCTTGGGTCGATGTGGCCATCCCCCTCTGTCAAAATGCCAGCATAGATGCCGGTGTCGTCTAGGTTCACCAGAGGATGCTTCTCCTGCAGGGCGTCGGAAGATCTGAAAATCCAGAAATCGGTCAAGTGTGAGGCCCTAAGCCCCAAACCCCGGCCCGATCCTTGATCTCATCTGGGGAGATCATGTGATGTTCAGCACAGCCGAATAAAGACGAGAAGATCTTGGCTTTGCCGACTTGGTATCTGGCCTGGTTCAACAGCGAGCTGAAAGCATGAGTCATCGTTTACAGTATATGTAAGGTGCCGAGAAGGTGAGGAAGGGCGACAAGACTCGAACCCATGCACCGGCTGATATGCAGACAAGAGAGCCTCGTCGATGTAGGACTTCCTGCAAGTATCTTTCATTGCATTCCAAACGCAAAAAACGTTGAAAGGCGCAACGCTGAAGGGACATGGCTCGCGGCTACACTGGAGGCAGACTTGCCAGGACATGCAGCAGCTGTGCAGAAACCCTTGTGAATTCAATCTGCAAGTATAATGTCATGCAAAACTCACAGTATATGACAGTATAAGATTCTTGTTTTCAGTCAAGATACTCCAAGACAATATAAGATAAGATAACGCAAAAGACAAGGCAAAAGACAACGGTGTACACAACATATTCGTATATAAAGTTGTGAAGTGTACTAACATGCAACAGTGCGATGCAATGCCTTCACATATATACATATATATATATAATGAAACATGTAATTAGAAAACTTAATGCAACGTGCCAGAACATAATAATGTAATATAGCACTATGTACCACAATGATAAATCAAAAGATAACAGAGTGAAACTAGTGGCACAGAATGTAAACGACTAGAATTATGTATAATGTACTCTCATGTAATCATGATGCAAAACTACATGATGTAACACTTTAGCTTCACAAAATAATATAGTGAAGTTTGGTGTAGCATAAAATGCCAATCACTGACATGCCACGGCACAATGTTGTGTTTTATGATAGAACAGAATAAAACAGAACAAACTAAGAGTGGAATTGGCTGTTGTAGACTAGAACAAGCTACAATACAATATGATACAACGAAATCTGCAGTAATATAGCCGCCCCTCAATGATTCGTCATCTTGTCCCTTCGAATCAATAAATGCCGAAGCCCTGTGCCACTTCTGTGGGGCCTTCTTTATCGAGGCCAGTCATGGGTTCCAGAAAAAAGAAGGATCCCTCGTTTCGACCACAAGAGAAATTTGATCCTCATGACAATAACAGCATGAACGACGACCCGAATACTAAACAAAACTAGACTACGCCAAGAAGCTCGTTGGGGATCAGTCGGATGGAGCCCGGCGTGTGAAAACTGAGCGGGGTTCCTGCCGGTGCGAAACACTGTGCGACATGGAAGGCGCACTATGCGACTATGCATCTATGTAACGTACGTGTATATCCACACAAAGATGTGCATCTCTCTGACTCTTTCGATGCACGTTGGTATCGTGTGTACATAATGTATATGTAACGTGTGTCCGTGGTCTCGGTGAGAGTGTGTGTGTGTGTATGTGTGTGTATGTGTGTGTCTGTCTGTGTGTGCACTTGGACACAGAGCCTATGTGGTTTGATTGGGTTAGGTTAGACTAGACTAGATTAGAACAGAGTTAGACTAGGCTAGCGGCTAGATAGGATTAGATCAGACGAAGTCAAGATTAGATTGGATAGCTGTGTTGATGGGTAGTACAGTAGATGGTTAGTCAGATAGGTAGATAATAAACAGATACCTCTATAGAAAGAGTGACAGACAAACAGGTAGACAGATAAATAGGAAAATGTGCATGTGTAACTCTGTAGACACCTACATATACACATACATATACATATATATGTATACATATATGCACGTATGTAACAATGTATGTATGTATGCATGTATGTATGTATGTATGTATGTACGCATGCAGGTGTGTATGTGTGTATGTATGTGTATGTATGTGTATGTATTGTATGTGTATGTATGTGTATGTATGTGTATGTATGTGTATGTATGTGTATGTATGTGTATGTACGTGTATGTATGTGTATGTATATGTATGTGTGTATGTATGTATGTATGTATGTATGTATGTATGTATGTATACATGCATGCACATCTGTAAAAAACTATAGGTTCTGCGTTACACACATGTGTGCCTTTTTATACATATATACATGTACATGTCTACATGTTATTCATTTGCGTATTCGTTTAAAACCATCGAAGGACTTGAACGATTTACTCCATTCACACTATAGAAAAGCTCCAGGAGCGCTGGCAAAGGGTCCAAGAAGCCCGCCTTCGTTTTGCCACTGCGTAAAGAGGTTCACACCCTCATCGTGCCACAGGCGGAAGTTGTTACCGCCATGGAAACGGGTCACCAGACCCGCTGCATGCCAGGTGGCTCCACAAGTAAGCTCGCCCTGCCAGTGCTCAACATCACATTTACAGTCGTCAACTAAGTTGCCCGCACTACAGTGGCAATCTGGCGGCTGTGTGCAAAAGCAGCGTCTAGATAATCTTGGCCGGCATGCCGTCTATACAATTAGAGTTCAGTGCAGACAATAAAATGGAGCCCGCTCTCATGCTTTTTCTCTACTGTGCTTTGGCTTCTTTAGAGCCCCCACCTTTTCAAAAAGGACGCACTTGACGCCCCGCTGGGCAAGGTTGTAGAGCATGGCGCATCCGGTGACGCCTCCCCCGACAATGACACCTGTGCAGGTCAAGCGATCTCGTCAGTTTCTTGAGTTCCATGAGCATAGTAGAGTATGGTAAAGTTTCGCATACTATACAGTAGTATACTATAGTAACGCATAGCAAAGGGATGCGCAACAGTCAACAACAGTTCCCACCTGAAACGCTGCGCACACTGCCTGCGGCATGGCGTTGCCACACTCGCCTGGCAGCGGGACCTGGGAAGCTGACTACACGCGGGCCCCGGCACTTCATGATCTGTCGGTGAACTGCAGGAACTCCCTGAAAAAAGGGGGCCCCTAAAATCGGAAGCCTCAAACCTAAACTCCCTAAGCTTTAAACCTTTTATTAAACTCCCGATGCTAAGCCCTAATCCCCCTAAACCCTAAACCGGGCTGCGACCAAGGCGCCAGCAGCTTGCCACATGATCAGAGGAAGACGGGGGAACTGTGGCACAGCTGGGCCGGCTCGACAGTCAGCTTGAGCCCGGAGCCCAAAAACAGCGGTGTTGAAGAAGACCCTAAGGATTCTGTTAGGGTTTATAAAGGGTTTAGGGTTTATAGGTATCAATTAGGCTTCAGGGCCAGGGTTTAGGGTAGGAAATGAGTCTGTTGGTGATCCTGACGATACCGATCAAGACTGTGATGATGGGCTGGTTGTTGAGGATGATAGTGCAGATTGGGCTGCTGCCCAAAATGACGAAAGCGCAGCCGACTTCTGGCTAGCCACAGCCACCACTGCCTATTCTGGGTACCACAGGGAACCTCTTCAAGGCGTCAAGACCGCGGTCTAGTTGACGACTTCCAGCTCTCGGCACAGAAAAATAAGTAACTATCCAGATTTGCTGTAGTATCTAAGGCGACCGGGGTTTGAAGGTCACGGGGTTGCAAAGCTCACAGCCAGCTGATCCAGAGCCCCTGCGCCAAGCGAAGGAGAATGAAACTTGGAAACGGTGTTTCAAATTCCAATATGATCCGGGCCCATCATGCTCTGCAACTCAACCCTGAGCCCTAAAAATCCTATAGAACCTAGAAACCAGGAAAACCCGAAAACTCAACTCGCGCTCAGGTCATGCCCTTTCTCTGAGGGCGCTGGGCTCAGGTCCGGCTCCGATCTTTGGGAGCGCTCCGCCTGTGGCCACCTGCAAAAAGGGGCACCCAGGAGGTCATAGGGCCGTATAGGCTTTACGAGCTTAGGGCTTTTGTTGTTAAAGTTTGGGCCTAGTTTAGGGTTTAGGGTTCGATTGGGTTGAAGTTTCAGGGTTGTTGTGTTGTTGTTCGCTGCTTCAGGTCTCCCCTAAGTATACGCCCGACGTACTAGGGCTTGAGGGCAGTAAGGGTAACAGCGTTTTCAGGGCTTGGGGCATTTTATGGTTGAGGGTTTTGGGTGCCGATGTACTGTTGGGGGAGATTCAAGCCTGTACGCTGGTCTTCATGGATTAGATTCTCTGCTGTAGAGGTTGCATGTCTTGGTGTCTCTGACCTTTCACCCTAGCCCCGGAACATCCAACAAACAGTAATAACTAAACCAAACATTGAATGCTAAAACACCGTAACACATACACCCTCAAAGCGACCACTTCCTTTACTGCGCCTCTCTTGCAGCGTCTCCGCGGCGGCGCAGGAGCCTAGCAAGCCGTCGGCGGCGGCCTTGCATAGAGCTTTGTCTTGGGAAAGCTGAAGGAGATTAGCGCTTATAGGGTTTAAGGCTCATGGTGAGGTTCTTTAAACTTAGGTTGCTCTAAAAAGTGAGCAAGATCCTCGTCAAGGTTAGTCTCTGATTTTCTGCAACTCACAAGTTTTGTGTTCTGGTAACGGCTGTAGGCAATGAGCCCGAAGAAACGAAGCCCCATCATCCGGAGACGATACTTTACCATGAGTCTCTGCAGTTAAGAGGCCAGGACAGTACCGACCCGTAGCACTCCTCATCATGAGAGTCCCTGAAGCCGAATCTCTAACGCTTCAATCATCTTTAACCCCGAAGTCCCAAGCCCAATTTCAATCACCACCCCCAACTCCCCAAGCCCTTTCCTGAACCCTGCTTTCCAGCAGAAGCCCACGCCCGGAGCCGTGCCTGAAGCGTAAGGCCTGCCTCCCGGAGGCGTGCCTCGTTCCGGTGAGGGGGGGGGGGGGTTGGGAAAGAGGAACTGCAGTGTGGTTCTCACGACTGACGGCTCGGCGCCAACGCATGCAGCTGCTACTCAAAATACACGAAGTGGCTGCAGGCATGTACCAATGACGACAGCTTTGCTGCCTGAGATGATGATGCAGCAGCAGGAAAAGATGATGTTCGCTCAGGGGAGATAGTACTGCTACAAGTTGCCAAAGTTATTCCTCCTATTGCTATTCTGGCGATAAACCTTATCCCACAGACTCCAAAATATCATGTCTCTGCGTATTTTTTTTTCCTTTTGCTGTGCTGTGCTTGGGCCGCGGGGGCCCTGGGTGGACTGCTCAAGGCTCGTGGCGCTAGGCTTCGGCGCGGGGCGTCTGGAGTAGAGTTTAAGTCCATAAAGCAACAAGTTGTGAAATCTCGAGCTGTTCTGACTGGGACGCTGACAAGCTCTTGCCGAGTTTGTCGCAGCTCCTGCCACCAGATTGGCAAAAGGAAGCAACACAGATGAGCTTTCGAGGTCAGAGAGTCAGCTCAGAATATTCACACCCTGCACCACGTAAGGAATCCTCACTCATCCAAAACGTCCTTTCAGCCGAGTTTAGTCCCTGCTTGCTTAACCGCGATCTCTGACAACCGTTAACCCATACTCTGGTGTGAGTTTCGTCAGAGCCGATCGATGTCGGGCCTGACGCTGATGGTCATGTTTCTGGAGCAGAAGCTCGTACTGCAGCTCCCACCTTGCGGTGGTGCTCAAGCGAAGCCGTGCATCGAGCATCATGGAGCTGTGCTGCTTCTCCAGATCGTCTCTTCAGGCTGCTTGGGTGCAAGTCTTACCTCCCTTTTCACCCATGGCGGCACGCATGTTAATTCGGGAAATCGCTTCCTCGCCCGTCGGGCACGTGCAACCAATCACACGGCTAGGGTTGCGGAAGCAAGGCCCTGTTTCAGGTTTGACCCTTGCTTGCATGCTACATAACATGCACTGCTGTCCTTGGGGCACTGGCACGAAAAGCAGACTTGAAGCGGCAGGATAGCAGGACGGTAAACATGTTCTGTGCTGCTATGCAGTTTCACGTGAAATACCACACAGGTAGCAAATCAACAGATATTGTACTCGCATTGTAGCCAGTGTCCTAGCAGCAGGGTACTACCTCGAGGGCTCCCCCAGAATTCCTTTGCATCATTATCGGCCCAGAAGGGTCCTTAGAAAGCAAGTCATCGCCGCACTCCTGCAGACAAGCAGGAGTTGGGTCTTTGGGTATCAGAAACAGGTTTCTTTCGGCTTTGGATGTTGGCGCACATCTATGCTGTCACGGAGGGTGGCTTCTGAAGTCTTCACTTTTCGTAGCGAGGCCTGCAGATCATACGACTCGAGCTCCCAGCATTTCGGGGTAGCCAACTTACATACATTACATTACATTCATTACATTACATTACATTACATTGCATTGCCTTGCATTGCCTTGCCTTGCATTACAGTACAGTACAGTACATTACCTGACATTAGCTTACATTACCTTACATTACCTTACCTTACCTTACATTACCTTACATTACCTGACCTTACCTTACCTTACCTTACATTACATTACATTACAAAAGTCATGCATACCATGGCCTTTGGTGCTACGAAGGACGAAGCGTTTCCCGACCGCCCCGGGTCCTGTGATCTGCGCCAGCGACCCACACAGCCGTGTCACAGATGCCTGGATCGGCTTTCACTGTCACCCACACCCAAGCGAGCGCACGTAATCATCCTGTCACACCATCTGCTGCTTAAAGGTGGCTAAGATGCATGATGCAGGTGGCGAAGGCAGGCGAGGTTGGAAGAGGAAGGTGGCAGAGAGTGTCCTGAGAGCATCACCGACCAGCAGACACGCCGGGCACATAGACATACGCGACCTTGTTGCGTTGAGTAAAATTATTGCAAAGCTGTTCGTCCACACATGAAGCCCTCTTGGTCGAGGCGGTCCTTTCTCCAGCCGCAACTTCGTGGCCTGCTGGCCCAACGACAGCAGGTCCATGTCCTCATGGCAAGACAACTCAAAGAACACAAACAGGCAAACACACACACACACACACGCATCTTCGATTCGTGTACAAGTCGTGTACAACTTTCTTCAATACCTCAGCGTGGTGACAGCCGAGGGCCAGCAAAGGCAACTTTTCCCAAAGATGCAATGCTTTCAGAAACTCGCCCCGAAACAAAATCCACAGAATCATCTCTGAATGCTAGACAGTCCTTATAGTAACTAGAGTAAGGGTTTGGGTGTATCGTGCTATAGTTATTCAGGCTGCTACATGAGGTCCTCATCGGAGACGTCGTCAGAATTCGCAACTTCTTCATCGTCCCCTGCTCCGCCGTTGCCTCCATTTCCTTCCTGCAGCAGTCGCTGGCCAGACGCCCCGGCGCACGTAACCCTCCCATGTGTGTAGACTCTACGACTCTGCGGATTCAGGACTCCTACTAGAAGGAACCTCGTATGAGGTCGCCCCCTCACTTTACAGGGCGTTTCGAGGTGCGTAGGTGGATGCGCGCAAACGAACGAGTAATGCCACGGCCTGGCAGGAGATGGCCCTGACATCGAGGACGGCCTGGATTTCAGCTGCTCTGAAATCGGACCACCAGCTTCTATGTGGATGATCATGCCGTGGAAGTCCGTGCATCACGAACAACAAGATTATCATGACAGAATAAAAGAAATCACCGACAGTCGGTTGCTTACTATCTGTCGTAATGTCAACAATATAGTATTCCTTGTTTGTACGATCTTCGGACTCGCTGTTGACACTACTATGATACCAAAAGTACGTATATGTGTAAACGTTCGGAAGCATGGTCTTCATCGTATGCATGCGCTTCAGAGGCTTGCGCATACAAAGCCAAAATCGAATACCAACAGCTTCGAGCTCCGAGGTCCTCCAGCACCGCAATCCGGAAGGCCGAAGACTCGAGCCCCGAAGCCTTTGACCCGAAAACCCCAAACCGAAACCCTGAGACCTGGCGTCAAGCAACCTCCTACATTCCAAACCTTGAAAATGAAAAGATTCACCCCCGACATTCCCAAATCCCCACTGCAGAGCTCTGACAATGACTACCCCCCCCCCCCTCCGAATAAGGATGAAGTTTCGGAGCCTGATATTAGGGCCCTCCTCCCTAGACAACTCGCATGAAATGCCTGCCGGAAAATATCCTCTACAACCCTTTTAACCCGTTTTTTTCGCAAACCCACGGCCTGGTCCCAAATCTTCTGGTTCGCAACCAGCTGCCGCAGCACCGCCTGCGGGGTGCACTGACAACCCCGGCGTTTCCCAAATCTGAACCTGAAACCCGGAACCCTAAACCCCAAACCCGAAAGAACTAAAGCTCAGCCCGAAAGCCTCCAGGATCCCGACCCCTAACCCCCCATCTATACTATACCAGCATATACTATGCTATACTATTGCTATACTATACTATTAAATTATTACTATACCATACCATACCATGCCATTGGCCATGCCCCTGGCCAGCTTTAATTAAAAACACGAGTCTGTTTTTAATTAAAAACATACCACTTGCAATACTGTGCCTGACAAGTTGAAGCCAATTCCTAAACCCTACAGATCTACCCGGGCCGAACCTGGTGACATGCGGAGGATGCCTCGAGGAACAGGAGCTCTTCCGCCAGCCCTGGGAGCGCTTTCGGTTTTGAGATTTTTGTGGCGGGATTAACAAGAAGGGCTTTAAGGGATTTAGGGCTATTTTGGGCTTACAAACGGTTTAAGGGGTTTAGGGTTTAGGCCAAAAAAAGGTTTAGGGCGTTAGCGGGCTTTGAAAGGGTTTAAGGGGGTTTAGGGCTTAGGGCTTTTTAAGGGATTTAGGGCTTTAGAGGGCTTTGAAAGGGTTTAAGGGGTTTAGGGTTGAGGGCTTTAAAATGGTTTAGGGGTTTAGAGGGCTTAGAAAGGGTTTAATGGGTTTAGGGCTTAGGGCTTTAAAGGGTTTATAGGGCTCAGAAAGGGTTTAAGGGGTTTAGGGTTTAGAGCTTGAAAGGGTTCAGGGCTTTAGAGGGCTTAGACAGTGCTTAGGGGTTAGTGTAGGGCTTCAAGGGGTTCAGGCTTTAGAGGGCTTAGAAAGGGCTTCGGGTTTAGGGTTTAGTGTGGGGCTTTAAGGGGTTGAGGGCTTTATAATTTAGGGTTGAGTTGAGTGTAGGGCTTTAAAGGGTTTCTCCGGGTTGGGGCTGGGGGTTGAGGGTCTAGGCGTTGGGATTTCGCGGGTTGAGGGCTCCGGGGCTTTGAGTTTAGTTGGTTTGGGCCTTGGTGTTTACTGCTTGAGGCTGTTTCCGGGTCTTGAGGAGCCGTGCATTGCTGATCATGCTTCTTACGATGACAAGTATCTACTACTACAAGTAGGACTGCTACCATCATCACTAATCACTAGCTACTACAGAAACCAATCTGGAAGAATGCAGTCAAAGAAAGAGGCCCCCCTGGGAGGAGCTACCTTGTGCCCGAGGGAGCCGAGGGTGCTCTTCAAGCTGACAAAAATTAAACAAACCGCCCGGCCTCCGCTCAGGATGCAATGGAACTATGATATCTGTTGCAGTAGTAGGACTACTCGTCACAAACATCGCATCACTCACGGCCCCTGAAGACCCGAAAGGCAAAAAAACCTTTACAGAACGCCTGTAGTAGCCTGAAAAGCCTCGTAGACCCTTGAAAATAGCCCTCGACACACCCTTACGACGTAACCTCAAACCCTGAACCCAAAGCCCTGAACCCTGAACCCCAAACCCTGAACCCTACTAAACCCTGAACCCTAAAACGCCAGGGGTCTGAGCAGAAGCAAGGTCCTGGCACCCTCACCGTCTGAGGAGCGAAGGTGCTCCGCGAGGGAGGACCTGAACTGCTTAGGGTTCAGGGCCAGTCTAGGGGTTTAGGGGTTTAGGGTTTAGGGGTTTAGGGTTTAGGGTAGAGAGGCCAATCACAGTCCGCAAATCATCCATGCAACTTCCACCACCCACGACCCCTGAACAAGAAACCCTGAACCTCAAATCCAAAAGACCAATCCATAAACGCCAGCCCTTAAAGCCTTAAACGCTCCCCCCCTTCCCCCTTCCGCCCAAATTTCTGATCTTTCCCCATAACAAGGATCTCAAGCTTCAGCAGCAGGGCGCCCTCGCCAGCGAAGAGCCATCCTCTCTCTTCGGAAACTCTGCTTCGGGCTTTCTGCTCTTACCATATTGGGTAGTTCTCCTAGTTAGGGTCCCGTTTAGGGTCTTTCTTATAAGGGTGACCTAAAAAGTGGACCCTAGTGCAGAGAATTACCCATATCGCAGTGAAGTTCTCATATTTCAAGCCGATCCCCAAGTCGAGCTCATGGAGACGGTGTATGGAGTTATTGATACTAGGCTTTCCTGGGATGGCGCGTCTGCAAAGCCTTGGAAGCTTTCATGAGCTGCAAAGGTGCATCTGCGGGCGTAAACTTCAAAAGCTCGGTCGATGAGGATGCAGAGCCTCCCTGATGCAAGCACTTCTCAATCGACCAACTGCAGAAGCCCTAAATCAGATCCCTCCGACCCCAGACGCGGCCTGGCGAAGATCGCAGGAGCAGCAGAAAGAACAGAAGCGCTGGGCTGGAGAGCCACCTCGACTTCTTCCGCTTTACAATCTTAGAGACATTTTAGAGTGTCGTCAAAGCTTCAGGGCTGGTGTGGTTTGCTTTTCGGGTGCAAGGTTAGTTTGGGATCGGGGTATGGGGCTTTTTGGGACTTTACTTCCGACCCTCCATTTCTGCCGCTCCTGAGGAAATGCCGCAGGCTCCGGTTGCTAGGCTGTTCGTTTAGTTGTGCACCTCTCGGCCTCCGCAACTTTGAGAGTAGATCTCGCAGCCCGAAGTGTGAAAACACGGCTTCACCCCCCCCCCCCCTCCCCACTGCGAATCCCAGCCTGGGCCCATCTTCGCCACGGCTCTTGGTCTTGACATCCTGCGATCGATGCATGTACTATAATACTATAGCACAATCATGATAAGAAGCTCGAAGGAACAGCACTACTGTATTGCTGCCCCTATCGGCAAGTGCGAGGGATGGTAGGAAGTCACCAAGCTCTCGGGGGAAGTACCACTTTGGCATCAGCATGCCATGAGGGCCAAGATGGAGACATCTGGATGCGTAGTCCTCCACCACAGTAGCATCCTCCAATCCTGCCGGCCAGAGACGTTCGGCCCTCGTAAACCCGAACCTTGAAACGACACCTGACCATTGAGACCCTCGAATGCTGAAAGCTTACGCCTCAAGTCCCAAAAAAAACCCAACCTCTCAACCCCCACAGCCCACAGCAAAACCTGAAACGCTGAACCATACCCCCTAAAGCCCAAAACCCTACAAGCCCTAAATTCCCGAAAACCCTCAGCCAAGAGCCAAAGGCCCGAGCCTTCTCTCGAGGCTTCCCCGAAGAGGCGCGATAAGCCGAGACGGAGGCTGGCCTCCACGCGCTCCTCGGCATCAGCCATGGCCATGGGTGGCTTCTACGGGTCTCTTTTATAGGGGTTTCATAAGGGTTATATTGGGTAGTTCTCTAAATTAGGGTGCCTTTTGGGATCCCATTTATAAGGGTGCCGTACTCTTCTGGAATCCAAAACGGGACCGTAATTTAGAGAACTACCTTTTTGGTTTTTACAAGGTTTCAAGTTGGGCATGTGGCTTTAGGGTGTGCTATAAGTTATCAAGGTTCTCGGGTTTGGGGGTCGCGCGGTGTAGGTTTCGGGTATGGGATCAAGTTTGTGAGCTTTAAGGTCTTGGGTTTAGCATTTAAAGAGTAATGGTTTAGGATTTCACGGTACGAGCCTCAGCTCTGCAGCTCTGAAACCTGAAAATCCCCACCAATCCCAACATTCCCGAGGCGGACCAGGCACTGCATGCAGAGCCTCAGACCGCGCTAGCGGCGGTAGCAACTCCAGGGTTAGCAGCCCTGGCAAGCACCAACTGACCCTTCATGGAGCCCTTGTGGTCCTTAAGTGGGTATACTAGGGAGGTACTGAAGCCGGTCTCCCTCTGCAGAACAACCCGTACAAGCATGTGTACAGCCATGCAGACGTGCATCCATATGTGTGCGTGTGTGTGTGTGTGTGTTGCATAAACATACACATGTGTCTGTGCGTGTACATATTAATTATATATATATATTTGCACATACATCATATACAAATGTCATCACATGTCTAGATACATTTGATTTCATGCCTCAATTTACTTGTTTGCTCATTGATTGATGTATTTATGTGCTCGCTTACACACACGTGGCCAAGTGCCAAAACCTCGAGCCCACGACGCCGATCGTCTGTACGAATCTTTGCAATGCCCGTGTTGTGAAATACCTGTGTCAGAACTAGGCGAGGTCAGATAACAAGGATGTTTGTCAAAAAGAGCCAGCCTGTGTTACATTGACATACCCTATGTAACGTAACCCAGCTGCCTTTTCACATCACGTAACATCCGAAATACCTACAGTGACAGTAACTGAACTAACCATGTTCTCATCCATGTTCCGCGGCTAAGCAAGCCCACAACCCGCACACCCTCAAACCACCAACCCCAGAAACCATGAAGCCCTTACTTGCAGAGCCTCAGACCTGAAAATCCGAAAGCCTCAACGCCTGCAGCCGAAGCCCTAAAGCCCTGAGGGCCTGGACACCCAAAGCCCTAAAACTCTGAAGTTTTACCCCCGAAACCCGAAAGTTTATTCTAGCTGATTAAAGTTTACTATTGTTTATTATTGTGTACTATTGCTTATGGTAGCTTATTATCGTTTATTATTGTCTATTTATAGTCTATTGAAGAGGAAGGCCTTGCCTACCATCGCCAGCAAAGCCGACTCCGACACTGCGGTGCCCCAGCCACGAGGATCGCCTGGAACATACGCAGGAGTGGGCTTAGGGGGTTTAGGGGGTTTAGGGGGTTTAGGGGTTTCAGGGGTTTAGGGGCTT